AGCAGGAATAGCTTGAAGCATTTAAGTAGTCCCATTCAGTTCCAAATGAAATGTGTGGTGTTGTTTATTGCCTCAGCTGAGAACCGTGACAATGTCCATGGCTGAGAAACAACAGTGGAGAGTAATTAATCAAAAAAATTGTGGAAAATGAATATTCATGACTGTCACAAAACCAGATTTGTGATGCAGGTTAAATACAGTTCAGCTTAGTTCAACACATAACTGGTACATGCAGTTTTCAAAGTTGTCATAAACATTTTGGCTTTGCCCTATTTGAGTGTGTGTGCGCACACGCACCGCCGTGCACGTGTGATGGTCTTTGGAACAAGTTACCCTCCTCCTGTGCTCCCAGCTGCAGCCCAGAACCTGCACTGCCCTGTCTGCTGCTCCTCGCAGCAGCAGAGGTCAGAAAGTAAATTCTCAAATGCAGCAGCACCGGTCACCCACGGGCTGGACAGCAGCTACGGCTGCAGCCTGGGTTTCAGCCCCGAACTGCGTGCACACAGTTTTTCTGACCATCAGTTCTGCTCACAGACACTGCCCCTTGTCAGAGAAGCAATAACATTACAATATTCAACAGCAGCTTTATTTTATTTTGATTCTTCCAGTAACTATTCTGTAAAATATTTTCTGCTCTTCCCTCACTGCTCACACTTATGTAAATAATAAGTATTGGCAAAAAAGCATCTTTCAGAGACTGGGTTGCTCACTTACCTCATGTTTTTCCTTCTCTGCTCACCTGGCTTACAGTAGCTTCGAAGCTAAAGGAGCGCTGCTCACTGTTGTTATCCCTTCCCTTTTATGTGCTCCGGCCCTCATGTGATCCGTGAGTCATTTAACAGAATCAGAAAGTGAAACTTCGGCTTCACTGAAGCATCAGCTTCACTTCAGCTTCAGCTACGCCTCAGTCTGCACTAGAAACCGGAGCAGCCACCACTAGGGGAATAGAAACCTCTGAGTCATGAAGCTGCTTTTTTTTCAGCCTGGCTGGGTGCCGTGCATTAACACTGCTGTCGAGAAAGTGACAACAGCTCCTAATAGCTCCCCGCATTTACTTTGTTCACATCCAGAGGCATCCACGATAAGGAGAACATTTCAGGCTGGTATAGGCTGACCCGGTTATCACGCGTGGGCTAGGGAAGGGTCATTTCCCTGTCCTGCCTCTGCCGAAGCATCTCTGCACAATGCTGCACCATGCTTTAGGCTCTGTTACATTGGTATTGTGTCATCTACACAGCACTCCCACAACATCTGGTAGCCCCTGCACTCCTTCGCCCTGTGTCTCCCCATCGCAAGGCCTCTGCTCTTGCACCAGGCCAGCATTTCTCCGCGCCACGGCGTTGCGTGACAGTACTAAACCTCTCAGCCCACTTGCAGCAACCGTTTGCTGCTGCTCTCTACATGAAACTGCAGTTGTAATGTGCAGAGATAAACGAAAGTAAAAGGAATGAGAAACAGTCCATTCCAGAAATTACTGTCACGGTTGTGCCAAGCAAAACAAAGCCGCAGGCAGGTCACGACGAGCTGAAACAGAGCCCGCCTGGCAAGCCAAGGCCCCGAGGCCCCGCAAATGTGGTGCGGAGCTTATGGCGTGTTGCTAGCAACAGCAACGCCGTCTTACAGGGCTACACGTTAACTAGGAGATAGGGCACGGGTTGGGTGCTGGAGCACCTAGGGATATAAACAATTCACTCACGCCTAGTTTAAAAAAAAAATAATGCAGACCTGGCTTGATAAAATTGATTTTACAGGTAACAAAGAGATCAAAGAAATAGTATCTAACATACATAAGTGGCACTATATATAGGAATATAAAACATAATCTGAAGCTGCAAACCAGCAAGGAAAAAGAAAGGTGTAAAAGTGTGTTAGCAAACATATAAAAATGACCCAGAGCGGATGCTGGGGAGAGGAAGAAGAAACCACCACCATTAGCGTCATGTTTCTCCCAAGGATGGACACCAGTGGCAGATGGCTGTTGGTGTTATTCCCTCCAGCAGCCTGAAGCTACTGGTCCGGATGCCCAGAGGAGCAATCTCTACGGGAAGGTATAGAAACTAAGAAGTGTCCCTGCACACCTGTGTGTGTGTAACGATTTTAACCATAATATTACTATTATTGTGACTTTTTCTGTAAATAAGCACTTCAACTGCATTATTATTCTTTCTCTGATAATTCTTGCATTAGACTAAGATTTTCATGATACTAACAAAGAAATTCTTATCTTTACCTATCTATATAACTTTTGCTTCCTCTTTACCTATAAACAAGATCTTTTAAGTAACATCACAGAACCTCTCTCCACTCTGGAACCCATTCCATTTTAAAATGTGAGAGCATCTTGTTAACAAATATGTTTAATTAGATACTGTCTGATGTCCTTTCATAATTAATATCTGTAGAATTTGAGGCCTCCCCCCCATGTTGTAGGAAAAAGCAAATAAAAATGCACATAAGGGTGCCTGATGAAGCATCTCCTTGTTCCTGGTATATGACAGTGTCAGCTCCCCTTGTTTTGTGAGGTTTTTAGTGGAGGATGCACAAGGTTGTCCCTCTGTCCTAACAAGCCAGAAAGTCATTTATATCAAACCCCATTATTACCTCAGAACTGCTGTTGCTGCCATCGTGTTCAATCTCTGCAATTACAGACAAGAATTAACAGTATTCCGTGTTTTCATTTACAAATTTATATAACCTCTGACTGCCAGTTGGTATGTTTTCAAGAATTTTAGGTTCTGGCTTATAAACGTTTATCTTCTGTGATATGAACAGTCCACATCCCCACCCTCATGAGTGTGTAGGAAGCACCTACGCAGGGCAGAGGGAAGCTCTGGCTCTGGTGGTGGTGGTAAGCTGCACTCATCCTCTGGGTTGGTCCAGGTCGTGGCTCTGTCCGGCCGGCTCCAGTGACCCTCGGGCTCTCCGGAGAGAAGCTGGGGGAGCCCACAAGCCACTGGGGAAGTGGGCTCCAGGAAGGCTCACTGCAGTGTGGGGAGTTTCAGCCCACATGGAGTGAATTCCCAGCAGGCACGGACTCTGCAGGACAAGGCTGTCCTTTGCCTTTCCCTTCTTTCCATTTCCCTTCTTTCCATTTCCCTTCTTTCCATTTCCCTTCTTTCCATTTCCCTTCTTTCCATTTCCCTTTCCTCTTCTTTTAAAAACAAAATAAACCAAACAGTCTTTCTACAAGAAACTGGAGAGCTTTAGTAACACACAAC